ATATTTGTTATCAGTCTAGTGATGCAGATTTTTGTCTTCTTGATGTTGAGATGCAATCCATATTGAAAACTGTATTTTTCATCTTTTGCAGCAAGTGCTCCAAGCGTTCCTCACTTTCAGCAAGTAAGGTGGTGTCATCTGTGCAACACAAGTTGTTGGTGAGTCTTCCTCCATTCCTAATACTACATTTTCCTTCATAGAGACCAGCTTCTCAAAAGATTTTTCCAGATAGAGACTGAATAGGTACAGAAAGAGAATACAACCCTGATGTGCTCTTTACTTTATTTTAAATAAAAAGTTATACAAGTGTTTAGGTCTTTCGTTCAAAGGGTCACTATATGTCATCTACAACTTGATGACACTTAACAACAACCACAGTGTTCCCTTGCTCTGCTCAGACAACAGCTTCTAGGTCTAGGTATAGGTTTTACATGAGCACAATTAAATGTTCTGAGATTCTCATTCTTCTCAGTGTTGGCCATAGTTTGTTATGATCTGCACAGACAAATACCTTTGCATAGTCAACAAAACACAACCATATACTTTTCTGGTATTTTCTGCTTTCAGCCAAGATTCATCTGACATCCTTAGTGATATCCATAGTTCCATGGCCTCGTCCAAACCCACCTTGAACATCTGGCAGTTCTTTGCCTATGTTTTAACTGGTTTTGAGTGATCTTCAGGAAAATTTGGTTTTCATTTGAAAGTACAATTATATTGATTGAGAATTTCCTCCTTCTTTTGAAGCAATTTTCTGCTTCAAAACATGAATCTCTTCCAGTAAGTCAGCCAGACAGCCATTGTCCAAATTTTTTAGCATAGATTGGTAAGAATGTCCAGGGCTGCATCTTTTAGTTGAAACATGTCAGTCGTACCTCATCAATTCACAGGGCCTTATTTTTAGCCAATATGTTAATGCAGCTTGAAATTCTTCCTTCATTACTATTGGCTCTTGATTACATGGTGGTGGTGGTGGTAGTGGTGGTGGGGGTGGGAGTGTGGTTGGGGGTGGGGGGTGGTTATGTGCTGTCGAGTCACCTGCAACTCATAGTGACTCTATGTACAACAGCCCTAAAACCTGCTCTATCCTGTACCAATCTGATTGCCTCTGACACACCTACCCCCATTACCTCAGTCACTAAATCAATCTATCTTATTGAGGGTCTTCCTCTCATGCACTGTCCCTCCACCCTCCCAAACATGATGTCGTTCTCCAAGGACTGGTCCTGCCTTGTAACATTGTCAAAAATAGGTAAGATGAAGCTTCAGAATCCTTGCCTCCAAGGAGTAGCCAGGTCTCATCCTCTCTAGGATGAACCTGTTTGTTCTCCTAGCAGTCCATGGTATATTCAATACTCTTTTCCAACACCACAGCTCAAAGGAATCAATTCTTCTTCTATGATCCCTAGTCTTTGTCCAGCTTTCTGATGCCTAGCAATTGATTACAAAGACCATGGCACACCTTAGTCTCCAGACTGATGTCATTGCTCTTAAGTACTTTGGAGAGGTCCCTGACAGCAGACTTTCCCAATGCAATTTGTCTTTTAATTTCCTGGCTGCTCGTGCCAAGAGTGTTGATTGTGGAGCCAAGCAGACTAAAGCTGTTAACAGTCTCAATCTCCTCACCATCTATCATGATACTGACATTCAGCCCAGTGATGAGACTCTGGTTTTTTGTGTTTTTGTTTTTTTTTTTTTAATTTAATTTTCTTGTTGTGTGCATTGAATCGTATCCAACTGGCACAGGAGGAGATTGTCCCTCCTTCTCCAGCACAGCATCTGGTGAATTCGAGCCCCACACTTTGGTATTGCAACACAGCTTCTTTGCCGCTAGGCCACCAGAGCTCCAAATCTTTGTTTTCTTAATGTTGAGCTTCCACCCATATTTAAGGTTGCAGTCCTAGAATTTCTCAGTATCAACCAAATCGCCTTGGTACAGTGACTCTCTGTGTTCCGCCCATCTTCTTTTGATGCTTTCTGGATAGTTCAAGATTTTACCCATAGTCTCTCTCAGTAGTAAAACTTCAGGATTGAATTTGTTTTTCAGTTCTTTCAGCCTGAGAAAGGCCAACTGAGTTCTTTCCAATTCCATACGTCTGCACATTTCAATATAATAGTTTGCTGTGTCTTCTCAAGCAGGCCTTTGAAATCTTCTGTCTAGCTCTTTTACTTCAACATTTCTTCCCTTTGTTTTGGCTTCTCAAAGCTCTTGTGTGATTTTCAGAGTCTTTTCCATTTCTTCCATTTCTTTTTATTTCTCTCTCTCTCTCTCTCTCTCTCTCTTCTGTTTTTATAATGACCTTTTGCTTTCTTCATGGTTTTTATACTTGGTGTCATCCCACAACTCATGTTGTCTTCAATCATTTATGTTCAATGCATCAAACCTATTCTGAAGATTATTTTAAAATTCAAGTAGGATAGACTAAAGGTTGTATTTTTATTCTGGTGGGTTTATTTTCAGTTTCTTCGCCTCAACTTGAATTTGCACATGAGTAATTGATGGTCTGTTCCACAGTCAGCACCTAACCTGCTGATACTGAGCTTCTCCAATGATTCCTTGCGCAGATGTAATCAATCTTATTTCTTTGCAGTTCATGAGGTGAGTTCCAAGTCACTGTTAAGAGGGTTTCGGGTTTGCTGTGGTGTTTTGGGTTTTGTTTTGTTTTTTTAAAAAGGAATATGTGATTAATAAATTATTGAACACACAAAATATGATTATTCTATTTCTGGCCTCATTTCTGTACATTCTCAATGTCAAGAAGACAAAGATTCTCACCACTGGACCAATTGATAGCATCAGGATGGATGGCGAAGAGATTGAAATTGTTCACAGCTTCAGTTTGGCACCAGCAGCCAGGAAGTCAAAAAACGTATTGTGATGGGAAAGTCTGCTGTTAGGGACCTCTCTAAAGTACTCAAGAGCAACGGTGTCTCTTTGGAGATGAAGGTGCTCCTGATACAGGCCATGGTCTTTGCAATCACTTGTTATGCATCAGAGAGCTGGACAATGACTAGGGAGGAGAGAAGGAGAGGATAATGTATGATTTTAAACCAAGAAATGTATGAGTAAAAGTTAACTCTTTTCCATACCTATGCAATCCATAGGGTGAGCAAATAATTTGAGAAGCTGAACTATATGAAGAATGCCGCATTGGGACTGATTACAGACTCATCAACAAGCTACATTTTGGAGATAACACAGCCTTGCTTGCAGAAAGAAAACCTAAAGCACTTACAGAAGAAAATCAAAGACTATAGTCTGCAATATGGATTGACTATCTCAATATCAAGAACGCAAATATCTTCACAACTAGATCAATATCAACAACACAATAGAGAAAATCTTGACCTTGTCAATTATTTTATCTCACTTGGATCACTAATCAGCAACTATGAAATATTTGTTGGTGTGTACTGTAGAGTTGGAACCGACCCATAGCTGACCCTCCAGGGGGTTTTCAGGCACAGTTAATCACACAGGAGGAGACTGCCCATCAGAAATATTACATTGGGGGAAACTGCTGTTAGAGACCTCTTTAAAGTGCTAAAGAGCAACGATGTCACTTTAAAGACACTGACCCATTAAAGGGTCAATTATGAGTCAGTTCCCTCGCAACAGTACATAACAACAACACATTCATAGAATAGGCTCTTATTTGGCAATATACATGTATGCAGTGCTGATATATCCTCTAATACAGATGACTTACATTAAAATAAGTAAAAATGGTATATCATATACACTGTATGATTCCAGAAATGCTAGATGTGCAGAATTGAAACATCTGTACAGATAGAACTAGCTTAACAATTGTCTCGGCCTGGGAGGGTGCACAATAGGGCAGGGATAGATAGCATCTGTTGTTCATAGTGTTAATATGAGTCATAGTTGACTTAATGGCACTTAAAAAAAATCAGTAAGGCCTGGGAGGGAAGTTATGAGGAGGACGATAATGAGGACAAATGTACTAGTACAAGGATTTTTTTTCATGATGAAAGTATTCTAAAATTAAGTTATGGAAATTATTCTAGAACTCTGTAAAGGCACTAAACACCACTAACCTATATTCCCCTCAGGGTGAAACACATAGTACATCAATTATCTTAATAAAAGCCAACCTGATTGAAGGAAAAGCAAGCACATTCACACAAAAAGAATATTGTCAACTTTCCACTAAGATATTTTCAGTAACAACAATCAACCAAAGCAAAGCCAGAAGCAGAGCATCCCAGTGTCATTATGAAAATTGTTGACTTTTGATGCAGTGGTAGAATCTGAGAAGAAGAAACAACAGAGTTCTCTCCTAAGGCCAGATTTCTGAAAAAGTAATCACCAGGTCTGAAATTCACAAGGTGTTAACTACAACACATGCAATATCAAATCACCTGCTAGAACATATGCCCACAGGAACTACCACATCCTTAGCTCAAATAAGAGCTCAAAACATTTCTAATAGAAAACAAACATTATACTGTTCCTTTACCAGGTGGGAATTATACCTCCTAAAACCAGAGAGCCCCCATATTAGAACAAAAGAGCTTCTGGCTGGCGCATATTTTTCTTTCTCAGCTGATGAAGGAAGGAAGGAAGGAAGGAAGGAAGGAAGGAAGGAAGGAAATAATTTATAGCATTGAAAAGGCTTCACGCTTTTCCTTGCTAAGTAGGGCTAAGTAAGAATTACCAAGATAAGGATAAGTTAAAAAGTTTAAGTTTGCACCTTTTCAGATTGACCTACAAATATGACATAGAGACACACTTAGGACTTCCGGAACAGGTTCTGACATGGGCCCCTGACTAAGGCACGTTTTCTTGCTGGTAATGAATGATCACTCACTTTTCTCACTTACTTGTGTTTTGTTTCCTAGTGCTAACTATGAAATGACAAAGAAAGCAAGGAGAGAAAACCACATCTTTTGTACTTCCAATATATAGGTCGTAGGAGTGAAGAACAAAAGACAGATTTTTTTTTTCATTGATTGATGTGGGGACACCTGCCACAATGAAGACCTCCTGTACCTGTCTGCCATCTTTTCTCCCAGTTGTCACATTTCTTCTACTAATTTCAGAAGGTAAGACTGATTCTTACCAATTTCATTATAACTACTCAGCAAAATGGAGCAACCTTTCAATGAATATTTGGCAATAATAAGTCTACTAGTCTACATGTGTTCTGTTGTACATGGGGTTTTCAGAAGCCTGCTATTTCAGAAATAGGTGGCCAATCCTTCTTCCTAGTCTGCCTTAATCTGCTGTTAAAAAAGTCTGCTGTTAGGGACCTCTCCAGGGTACTGAAGAGCAATGGTGTCACTCTGGAGACTAAGGTGTGTCTGATACAGGCTATGGTCTTTGCAATCACTTGTTATGCATCAGAGAGTTGGACAATGACTAGGGAGGATAGAAGGAGAATTGATGCCTTTGAGCTGTGGTGCTGGAGAAGAGTATTGAGGGTACCACAGACCACTAGGAAAACAAACAGATTCATCCTGGAGAGGTTAAACCAGGCTGCTCCTTGGAGGCAAGGATTCTGGTGCTTCCTCTGACATACTTTGGACATGCTGTAAGGAGGGACATGTCCTTGGAGAGGGACATCATGCTTGGGAGGGTGGAGGGACGGAGCAAGAGGGGAAGACACTATATGAGGTGGATTGATTCAGTGACCAGAATAATCAGGATGGGTGTGTCAGAGGCAGTGCGATTGGCACAGGATAGAGCAGGGTTTAGGGCTGTTGTACATAGGGTTGGTATGAGTCGCAAGCAACTCAACGGCACATAACAACAACAAATCGACTAGACTGACATCATTGCAGACCATAGTCTTTGCAATTACTTGCTATGCATCAGAGAGCTGTACAATGACTAGAGATAAGGAGAATTGATGCCTTTGAACTGTGGTGCTAGAGAAAAGTATCGAATGTACCATGGACTAATAGGAGAACAAACTGAAGCTTCATCTGACATACTTTGGACATGTTGTAAGGAGGGACCAGTCTTTGGAGAGGGACGTCATGCTTGGAAGGGTGGAGGTACAGAGAAAAAAAGGAAGTCCATCAATAAGATGGATTGATTCAGTGACTTAGGTAATAAGGTTAGGTGTGTCAGAGACAGTAAGATTGGCACAAGATAAAGCAGGGTTTAGGGCTATTGTACATAGGGTCACTATGAGTCACAGGCAACTTGATGGTACATAACAAAAACAATGTCTACTAGAAGATTTTTTGTTTTTCATTAAGCTCTTGATTTTCTTTTGTTATTTTAGTGAAGGTTTACAAAGACATTGATTTCATTCATCCATTGATGCACACTTTCCTCCCTCCCTCAATTCCTCTCAAGCCTTAAAGGTTCCTCCTCAATTTGAGAAGGAAAGCATTCCCTTTCTTCTGTACCATTTCTTCTCTAGATTTCATTACAGAAAATCGTGAAACCACCTGTATTCACTGTTAACGATTTGTAGCCTGAAAATTGCAAAAAGAGAAAGAATGGGGCAGGAGCACGGCAGGGTTAAGCCTGTAAAAGCAATCAAACAAGCCAAAGATACTTGAGTTGAGGTGGGGGAAATGACAATGTCTTTAGAAAAGAAATAATGGTGCATGAGTCATTAAAATATTTTTTAAAATCTTTTTTCTTAATGGTTTTAATAAAATGTTCTTATGGTGCTTTATTCATGTACATTGTGTTGTATATAATCTTCTATTTACATTGCATTTCATACTATCATATATGTTGTATTTTATACAATTAATTACTATTAGTCTATGAACTCTGATGGTCTCGTGGTAAGAAGCTGTGCTGCAATCCCGAAGGCATGTGGTTCAAATCCACCAGCTGCTCAGTGAGAGAAAGAAGGATAATCTCCTCCCATGCTATTAACTTACTACCTCTGAAAACCTGCTGGTGGGTCAGCTATGGATCCGTTCCGACCGGACAGTGCAGAACAACAACAACATGCGTATTATTATCCCATCTTTTCAAGTCCCCATTGAATCTTTCCTATTCCTTCACACACACATACACACATAATCCACCTACTAAACTCTGCTATCCCATTGATTTCTTGACCCTTCCCCTATTCCTGCCTCTAGTCCCATGTTTGGACGTTTGTAAACATCTTACTGGTTAACTTTCCATTTTTTTAACTCTTTTTATTATTATTAATTTCAATGAACATCTACAGAGATTTTGGAATTCCATTCATTCATTGTTGCA